GGCTATTTGCTGTTGGAAAATTTCTGGAGCCTTGAAGACTTGAGTCATTTGGTCAAAAGGTTGGGCAGGCTGGGACCACCACTTGTGAGAATAGTGTGGACAAGCAAAGCTCACTCAAATTTTTGCTTTCTCCATTATGGAATCTGCTCCATACCAAATATGACCCTGGCGGGAAATCCCATAAGAGTCTTTCATTACCTTGCCTGGGAGAAACCAGAGCTGAATAGTTCCTGAAATTCCCAGCTGCTGGGCCTCATCCACAATAATGTCTATGTCCTCAGGCATTCATTCCATCTCTGGAAACCAGGGCTTCAGATGAGGGCTTTATTCAAAGATTAACCCTCACAGAGATGTGAAGTCTTTTTAAAAAAAAATAATTATCTATTCTTACTTGGCCCGTGTGGCTCAGAGGTTGAGCATCGACCTATGAACCAGGAGATCGCAGTTCAATTCCTGGTCAGGGCACATGCCCAGGTTGTAGGCTCGATCCCCCATGTGGGGTGTGCAGGAGGCAGCCGCTCAATGATTCTCTGTCATCACTGATGTTCCTATCTCTCTCTCCCTCTCCCTTCCTCTCTGAAATCAATAAAAATATATTTTTAAAATTATTATCTAGTCTTTAAAGGAGGAGCTTTCCAAGCTGTCCTTACCAGCCTGATGAAATCTCCCGGTACACCCTGAGAAACTTGTACTTTGTGTTGCATCTGTAATTGTGAGAACACTGGGTTTGGGACATCAAGCTCAGGTCACCCATAACCGCATCTCCCTCCTACCTCCCAGACTGTAATAAAGTTCTGCACTTGTTATGCCAAATCTTTTGAACATGGCCTTCCAGCAACTTGATGAGCCAGAATAATTATTAAAGGAGACTTTGGCATCAATGCCAAGACTCACAGTGATGTGCAGACCTTCTTTCTTTATGAAAGTAATAAAACTTGATGAACAGTCAAACATCTATGCACATTGTTCCCCCAAAGATTTTTCCAGTTGTTGCTGGACAAAGAACCTTTCTTTATTTTTTTTCCAATGTTTTTCGTGATTTTATTTATTTTTCTTTTTTCTTAAATATATTTTTATTGATTTCAGAGAGGAAGGGAGAGGCAGAGAGAGATAGAAACATCAGTGATGAGAGAGAATTATTGATCAGCTGCCTCCTGCATGCCCCCTACAGGGGATCAAGCCCAAAACCCAGGCATGTACCCCTGACTGACATCAAACCTGGGAACCTTTAGTTGGCAGGCCGACGCTCTATCCACTGAGCCAAACCAGCCAGGGAGAAACTTTCTTTTTTTAAAAAAATATTTTTTTAATTGATTTCAGAAAGGGAGGAAGAGGGAGAGAGGTAGAAACATCAATGATGAGAGGGAATCATTGATGGGCTGCCTCCTGCACACTCCCACACTGGGTATGGAGCCTGCAACCCAGGAATGTGTTCTGACCAGGACTTAAACCATGACTTCTGGTTCATAGGTTCCATGCTCAACCACTGAACCATGTCAGCCGGGCAAGACAAAGAAACCTTCTATCAATTTGAAGATGCCCAAGAGCTGGAAACCTAGAACTAAAGCTGAGAGACTGAAAAAATGCAGACTACAGGGGCCCTACTCATTCTCCTGGCTCTGATCCGCTGTTGTACCACGGGTCTAATCAGGCCTGTGTCTGCCTCCTTCCTGAGTAGGCCAGAGATCCCATCTGAACACCTTCCTACAGCAGCTCCCCACTCTGGGTGGCCATACCCAGACCAGAGCTCCAGACCAGTGTCGTCTCCTGGGACATTGCCACAGCGGCCAAGTTTATTGGTGCTGGAGTTGCTACAGTGGGTGTGGTTGGTTCAGGGCCTGGAATTGATCATTGGCTATGCCAAGAACCTGTCTTTCAAGCAGCAGCTCTTCTCCTATGCCATTCTGGACTTTGCCCTGAGACCATGGGGCTCTTCTGTTTGATGGTTGCTTTCCTCTTCTTCGTCATGTGAGGCTCTGGGGGATCACCTATCCATCCCTGCTGCTTCGACTCCAGGCCATGCCTGGTGCTGGAATGGGCTAAGCTTTACCATTAAACACAACATTTCTCTAAAAAAAGAAAGAGGCCTTGGCCCGGTAGCTCAGTTGGTTAGACAGTTGTCCTGATACACCAAGGCTGCAGGTTCGATCCCTGGTTAGGGCACATACAAGAAGCAATCAATGAGCCCAGCTGGTGTGGCTTAGTGATTGAGTGTCAACCCATGAACCAAGCGGTCACCGGTTCAATTCTTGATCAGGGCACATGCCTGGGTTGTGGGCTCAGTCTCCAGTGGGGGACATGCAGGAGGCAACCAATCAATTATTTTCTCTCATCATTGGTATTTCTATCTCTCCCTCCCCCTTCCTCTCTCTCTAAAATCAATAAAAATATTTTTTTTTAAAAAAAGAAGCAACCAATGAATGTGTGGAACAACAAACCAAATGTTTCCCCCCTCTCCCCCTCTCTCCCCTCCCTTTCCCTCTCCCTTTCTCTACTTCTGAAATAAATAAGTAAAAATAAATTTTAAAACATGCCTATGAGCCTTATTAGTCTCACAAAGGGGCTTACAAAATAGAATGTCTTTGATGACATCAGCAGCATATAAAGGCTGAAAACTAGGTGCTGGCTATATGGAGACAACAGTACTTTGACCCAGTTGTATACCGAAGGGAAATTTCTCTCTTTTCCACCCACCCTCCCTACCTCTCTCCCTTTCTCCCTTTTCCCCTCCCTCTCCTCCTACCTTCCTCTGGTTGCAAGCAATAGAAATCAAGTCTGTCACCTTGAATACTAAAAATAATTTACTGTAAGTATGTAGGGAACTTGCAGAATGGAGGGAAAGGCTAAAGATTCTGGTCAGAGGACAGGATCCAGAGCAGCTCTAGACTGATGATGGTCTTTTTAAAAATATATTTTTAATTGATTTCAGAGAGGAAGGAAGAGGGAGAGAGAGACAGAAACATCAATGATGAGAGAGAATTATTGATCAGCTGCCTCCTGCACACCCCCTACTGGGGATCAAGCCCCAAACCCAGGCATGTAACCCTGACTGACATCAAAACTGGGAACCTTCAGTTGGTAGGCCGATGCTCTATCCACTGAGCAAAACCGGCCAGGGAGAAACTTTCTTTTAAAAAAAATTTTTTTTTTATTGATTTCAGAAAGGGAGGGAATCATTGGTCAGCTGCCTCCTGCACACCCACAGTGGGTATGGAGCCTGCAACCCGGGCATGTGCCCTGATTGGGAATTGAACCATGACCTCCTGGTTCATAGGTCGATGTTCAACCACTGAGCCTTGCCAGGTCAGGCTGATGATGGTCTTTTAAGGTTGTGCCATCTGGATCAAAGTACTTCAGATGTTTGCTCACTCTACTGCCTTTCTACTTAGATCAGTGGTTCTCAACCTTGGCTGCACATTAGAATCACCTGGGAATCTTTTTAAAATCCTGATTTCTGGGCCTCATCCTGTTTCTTCGTTACTAATGTTGTGGCCTCACCCCATAACAAAGAAACAGAACTTCCGGAGGATGAGGCCCAGAAATCAGGATTTTAAAAAGATTCCCAGGTGATTCTAATGTGCAGCCAAGGTTGAGAAACAATGACTTAGAGGGTGGTGGTCTGTGGATCAACAGCAATGGTATCATCCAGGAGATACAGGCTTTTAGGCTTCACTGACTCAGAATCTCCATAGTAACAAGACTCCCAGGTGATTCATACATACGCACATTCGAGTGCAGAGAGGCACTGCCCTATTCAAGATCAAGCTGATCTAGTTTGGGTCACGTGTCCATCCCTTGACTAAAGGAGGTATGATACCATCATTGACAGTCCTGCCAGACTGTACCCAATGGCGGAAGGTCATTCAAATCTCCTAAGTCAGGGTGCTATTACCAAAAGAATGGGAAATGAATATTGGGTGGCCAAGTATGCAATAAATATCCACTTCAACCCTTGGTCCTGTTTGGAAAGGTGAGGTTTGGAAGGTATTTCCCCCCAGGAAGGGGTAACAAAGCTTTGTGTATTCATTAGATTTGGGCCCTCCTTTGAGGCCATGGAGTTATTAGCCCACGAAAGGGAATTTCAGGGGCTGGAAAAAGAAAGCCTCTCAACCCCTGGCAGAAATCCCTAGGGAATGGAAAGAAGGAGGGTCTGTGATGGACAAATTCCTGATTCAATCTGAACCCTGTACCTCTGAGGCAGTGAGGTCTTGAAGGAGAAGAGCTGGGTGTATGCCCAGAAACACTGGCCCCTTAGAGCTGCAATTTGGGAAATCTTTGAAGGACCACACTGACACACACTGGAAGGTGCAGTCAGCAAAGCTTTGCTCTGGAGTAGACCAGCAGTGCCAGATGGAAGCAGGCCAGTGTTCAGGAATGACACATTGTAGTAATGAAACACAAGGAAGGCTTGGAAGTAGAAGCTTTTCTCTACTGAGGCGTGGACATCAGGTCAACCTCCTTTGAGGACTATGTAAGCTCCTGGATAAGCCAGAGGAGGACAAGAGCCAAAGAGGGTGGTATTAAACTTCTTGCTGATCTGGTCCATGAGGCTCAAGCCACTTTTGATTTAATTTGAAGAACTACAAAAGATGTGACTATACTTGCACCTCAAGAGTTGTAAAGTTGCCGAAGCCGGTTTGGCTCAGTGGATAGAGCGTCGGCCTGCGGACTGAGGGGTCCCGGGTTCGATTCCGGTCAAGGGCATGTACCTGGGTTGCGGGCACATCCCCAGTGGGAGATGTGCAGGAGGCAGCTGATCGATGTTTCTCTCTCATCGATGTTTCTGACTTTCTATCTCTCTCCCTTCCTCTCTGTGAAAAATCAATAAAATATATTAAAAAAAAAAATCCTAAGCTCCTTGACAACAAGGAGAGCTTATTAAAAAAAAAAAAAAAAAAAAAAAGAGTTGTAAAGTTGACCATATTTCCCATGCTGCACTGCAGCCCCCCTCTTCTCTTCTGGTCCCAGGCACTTTGAGAGCCACGGGCTTTAGTGCAGACATGGCAAAGTCCAAGAACCATACCAGACATAACCACTCCCAAAAACGGCACAGAAATAGCATCAAGAAACCCTAAGCAGCCCAGCTGGCATAGCTCAGTGGTTAAGCATCAACCAATGAACCAGGAGGTCACGGTTCGATTCCTAGTCAGGGCACATGCCTGGGTTGTGGGTTTGATCCCTAGTAAGGGACGTGCAGGAGACAACTGATCAATTATTCTCTCTCATCATTGATGTTTATATCTCTCCCTCTCCCTCTCTGAAATATATATATATTTCCTAAACCACAAAGATATGAATGTCTTAAGGGTGTGGGGCCCAAGTTCCTGACGAATATGCTCTTTGCCAAGAAGCACAAGAAGGCCCTGAAGAAGATGCAGGCCAACAACACCAAGGCCGTGAGTGCACATGAGGAGGCTATCAAGGCCCTCATAAAGCCCAAGGAGGTCAACCCCAAGATTCCAAAGGGCAGTAGCCACATACAGAGTCAACTTGCCTACGTTGCTCACTCCAAACTTGGGAAACATGCTCATGTATATAGCCAAGGTTCTCATCTTGGGCTCTGCAGTCCAAAGTCCAAGTCCAAGTCTCAAACCAAGGCCCAGGCTATGGCTGTGGCTGCAGCTCCAGCTCAGGCTCCCAAAGGTACCGAGGCCCGCACAGAGACTTCAGAGTAGAGCCCTCTGTTTGCCGATGTGGGGACGGAGGAATGGTGTGAGCCCTGGGCTACTGTTTGCATGGGGCTGGTTTCCTCCTGTGCTGTTTGTACAAAAAACCTGAGGCAGGAGCTGTCAAAAAAATTGTCAAAATATTCATATAGTCTACATCCTATTTTTATGTAATTATTAGTTCAGTGTCTCTCTTCCCAACCAGAAAACACCAGGAGGACAGGGACTGTGCCTGTCTTATTTATCCCTGCATTTTCCAGAACCTAACACATAATAGGTGCTCAACAAACGTTTGTTGAATAAATGAATGTGGCCGAAACCGGTTTGGCTCAGTGGATAGAGCGTCGGCCTGTGGACTGAAGGGTCCCAGGTTTGATTCCAGCCAAGGGCATGTACCTGGGTTGCGGGCACATCCCCAGTGGGAGATGTGCAGGAGGCAGCTGATCGATGTTTCTCTCTCATCGATGTTTCTAACTCTCTATCTCTCTCCCTTCCTCTCTGTAAAAAATCAATAAAATATATTATAAAAAAATTAAATAAATAAATAAATAAATGTGATAGGGGTGCCAATGTGGTAGTGGCTTGAAGGCAAGGCATTGATATTGGACAAATCCAAAAGGCATCTACATGCCTTCTACCTGGATGCACCCAAAAAGTGCAATCTGATATGGTCTCCTAGTTCTTTAACATTCACATCAAATGGCTCAAATCCTAGCCACCTGGAAAATTCAGTATCTCCCATAATATCTTTGAAGATTCTTGGCAGAATCTCATTTATCCTGACCAGACTTCCTACTTATTCTGGGGCCTTCTGCTACTATACACTGCCCTGCTAGGTGTCATGGCCACATTTGTTGCTACATACACCAGGGGCAGTTCTTTTCACTGGGGGCTTTACTAGGCTGCCATCAACAGTGCTTGGTCCTGTTTTCCCCCTGCTCCTGCTCCTCTTCATGATCCCCTTATTCAATCCTTTCTTTTCAGGTCTCTTGACCTCCTCTAAGGTCACTGTCACTACTCTTTCCTCCTTCTTATCAGATCAAGTGACTCTCAAGCAGTAACTGGTGGTCTCTATTTTCTTCCCTCTCTTTCCAATATTTATTACTAGAGGCCCAGCGTGCACAAAATCATATGAGAGTAGCTCAGCTGGCCGCCCCACCCATTGTCACTCGTAGCTCTTCACCTCTAGTAGTTCGTGCCCCGCCCCGCCCACCACGAGAACCGCTGCTCTTTTGGTCATGACGGTGTTACAGCGTCATGGCCACAGACCTTTTATATAAGAGATAATACTAGTGCCCCAGTGCACAGATTCATGCACATTGAAAAGAAATTAATGCCAAAACCGGTTTGGCTCAGTGGATAGAGCGTCGGCCTGCGGACTGAAAGGTCCCAGGTTCGATTCCGGTCAAGGGCATGTACCTGGGTTGCGGGCACATCCCCAGTGGGGAGTGTGCAGGAGGCAGCTGGTCGATGTTTCTCTCTCATCGATGTTTCTAACTCTCTATCTCTCTCCTTTCCTCTCTGTAAAAACTCAATAAAATATATTTAAAAAAAAAAAAAAAAAAAAAAAAAAAAAAAAAAAAAAAAAAAAAAAAAAAAAAAAAAAAAAAAAAAAAAAAAAAAAAAAGAAAAGAAATTAATTAGAAGGTGGCCGGTGGGGTGGGGCTGGGTGAGATGGGCTGGACACGCCCTGGAGCCAGCCTCCCTCGGTTCCTCCCTGGATGGCTGTAACTGGGGCAGCGCTGCGGCTCGAAGGGTGTCTGCGAAGTGAGCGGGTCCCTCTAGCATGTGGTGTCCCTCTGCCTGGCCTGTGGGGATCGTGCTGAAACCAGCTCTCTGACATCCTTTGAGGGGTCCCAGAGTGTGAGAGGGCACTCTGCAAAGTTGTTGTCGTACAGGGTGTGTAACACAAACACAAGTGTGCAGTAAACCAGATTTGGGGCCGACAGTGCCCCAGCAACAACATAACCCATGGTCAAAGGTGGAATCACAAGGCCCACAAGGAATTGGGCTCCCTCCTCCCTGGTTTCAGGGTGCATCACTGTAGCTTGGCAGCTCCTGCATTGAGCATCTGCCCCCTGATGGTCAGTACACGTCATAGCAACCAGTCAGATGGGCGGAGGGACACTTAGCATATTAGCCTTTTATGTATATAGATATTTTGCTCCAATTGAGGATTTCTTTTTAATTTAATTTTATTATTTTTGTTGCTGAATCAAAGATTTCTCTTTTTAAAAAAATACATTTTTTTATTGATTTCAGAGAGGAAGGAAGAGGGAGATATAGAAACATCAATGATGAGAGAAAACCATTGATTGGCTGCCTCCTGCACGCCCCCTACTGAAGATCAAGCCCACAAACCTGGGCATGTTCCCTGACCAGGAATTGAACTGTGACCTCCTGAATCATAGGTCGATGCTCAACCACTGAGCCATGCTGGCCAGGCAAGGATTTCTCTTTTTCACAGTCAAAATGCATTAAATAGGGAGCAAAACAAACCAAAAAAAACCTGAACATTATCTTCTCTTTATGTTCTTTCTCTAACAATCCTAACTGTAAATTCCTTTAGAAACAATGTACTGCATTGAATAGCATGCTCCCCCCAAATTTATGTTCACCTAGCACCTATGAATGTCACCTTATTTGGAAATATGGTCTTTGCAGATGTAATCAAGTTAAGAAGAGGTCACACTGGATTATGATGGGTCCTAAATCCAATGACTGGTTTCCTTATAAGACAAGGGAAGTTTAGACACAGAGATATAGAGACAGACACACAGGGAGAAGGCCACGTGAAGATGCAAGCGAAGATTGGAGTGATGGATTTACAAGCCTAGAAACACCAAAGATAGCCAGGAACCTCCAGAAACTAGGAGAGAAGCCTGGATCAGACTCTCCCTCAGAGCCTCCTGAAGGAACTAACTTTCCAACACACTGATTTTGGACTTCTGGCCTCCTGGACTGTGAGAGGATAAATTTCTGTTGTCCAGCCATCCATCCCGTTTATGGTATTTTGTTCTGACAGCCCTAGGAAACTAATATAGATATGGATACTCTTGTTTCCCAGTGGAAGAGTTAGGAAATGTAAGGCAAATAAGAAAAGCACAAAAATTGAGAATTCAAGATCTTATTCTGAGATTTTGAGCATGGCCTTCAACCTTGCTAATCAAAGTGGGTCCAAGAAGCAGTAGGATCACAGTTTAAGAAGGGCTGCCCAAGGAAATTCTGACACATACTATAGCTGGATGAACCTTGAGGACATTCAGCTAAGTGAAATAAGCCAGTCACAAAAAGACAAATACTGTATAATTCCACTAATATGAGGCACATAGAACAGCGAAATTCATAGAGACAGAAAGTAGAATGTGGGTGCCAGGGGCTGGAGAGGGCGGGGGAATGAAAAGTTACTTTTTAGCCTGTCCAGTGTGTGTCAGTGGTTGAGCATCCATCTATGAACCAGGAGGTCACGGTTCGATTCCCAGTCAGGGCACATGCCCTGGTTGGGGCTCGATCCCCAGTGTGGGGTGGTCAGGAGGCGACCAATCAATGATTCTCTCTCATCATTGATGTTTCTCTCTCTCTCTCTCTCTCTCTCTCTCTCTCTCTCTCTCTCTCTCTCCCCCTCTCTCTCCCTTCCTCTCTCTGAAAATCAATAAAAGCATAATTTTAAAAGTTACTGTTTAATGAGTACAGAGTTTCAGTTTTGCAAGATGAAAAGAGTTCTGGAGATAGATGGTGGTGATGGTTGCCCAACAATGTAAATGTACTTAATGCCACTAAACTGTACATTTAACTTAGTGGTTAAGATGGTAAATTTTGTTATGTGTGTCTTACCACAATTAAAAATTTAAAAAAAGAAGGGCTAGCTCGGCCGATGTGGCTCAGTGGTTGAGCGGTCAACCCAAGAGCCAAGAGGTCAAGGCACATGCCTGGGTTGCAGGCTTGATCCCCAGTGTGGGGCACGCAGGAAGCACTAATCAGTGTTCCTCTCTCATCAATGTTATCTCTCTATCCCTCTCCCTTCCTCTCTCTCTAAAAATCAATAAAAGAACATTTAAAAAGCCCTAACTGGTTTGGCTCAGTGGATAGAGCGTCGGCCTGTGGACTGAAGGGTCCCAGGTTCGATTATGGTCAAGGGTATGTACCTTGGTTGCGGGCACAACCCTCCAGGGGGTGTGTGCAGGAGGCAGCTGATCCATGTATCTCTCTCATCGATGTTTCTAACTCTCTATCCCTCTCCCTTCCTCTCTGTAAAAAATCAATAAAATATATTTTTTAAAAATATTTTTAAAAAGAAGGGCTAGCCTACAAAGTCACTTCTGGCCCCTGCCACCACTCTATTCTCATTTGGCCCCATTCTTCTCCTCCTTTTGTGGTCCAATAACCAGGCATTTCTTTCTGTTCCCTTAACGTACCAACATGGACCTTGACAAGATGTTGCTCTCTCTGCCTGGAACACTTCCCCCACCCTTTTGCCTAATGTTGAATGCCCCTTTCTCACAGCAAACTATCCCTGACAAAACAGGACAGCTTGAGGCCTAGCTGCACATTCTCAGGGCGCCCTGTACTTTTCCCTCCTAGTGTTGATTGCAATTAAATGCCTTTACAATTGATTGTTTCACATCTGTCTCCAATTAGAATGTCAACTCCACAAGGACATGCGTTCCGCTGCAATCAAGGAGTGACTGTTTTGTTTACCGCCCTATCCCTAGCCTAGAACAGTTAGATATTCAGTAAATACTTGCTGGCTGTCTGAATGAATGACCCACTCATTGCTGATTCAAGCTCCTCACCTTCTACAGTTTAAGGCCCCTGAGCCTCAGTCATGCGGGTCTAGAAAGCTTACTTTGAAGAGCACACAAGAGTTGATCGAGCTCAGAGCTGGATGACACAAGCAAATAGGGCACTCAATTATTCCACAAAACAGATGCCGTTTAATTAATTTATGGAGCAGCTGCCTGGTTGAGCAGAGGACCAGTGCCAAGAGAGATGGCGAGTCTTTAAAAAGA